AGACAAGCATCTTTCCCTGCTCACATGAAAAGAATTCTAAATTAGGGCAAATTGCAAAATATTGAGATGTATTGCGTATTTTCTTTCGTAATTCACTTGGTTATTGTTATAAGGTCTTACTCTTCTTTTCCAAGTCTTTAAGTGCAAAGTGTCTGAAACACTTGAATTTCAACGTTTGTTTTTGATAAATACCACTTAATAACGTCTCAGCTTTCCTCCACAAAGAAGAAAAATTCCATCATCATTAAATATTGATTTATCCTCTGAGCAATTCCTGTTAAAATCCAGAAGTGTTCAATGAGCATGTCTGCGTTTTCACATCATTGCTGACTGTTGCTTAATTTCCCTCTAGTTACTGGAAGATCAGTAGGAATCTTATTCTGTCTTTTTAGAAGATGTCTTTGTTACCCAGAGACACTTCAGCTCCTGTCTGTTGCCCTTAATCCCGTGCTGCCTCGGTCTCAGATACAATTAGGGCACTTCAGGGGACTCTGGTGTCACTTGTCCTTGCTCAGGTCCATGTGACCTTCACTGTGTTGTGCTGGCAAGCACCAGAACAGCATGGATACTCAATTTTGGCTTTCTCAATTTCTCAACTGCTAACAGAGCCCTCTGTGCACTTCTGGGGGGCTCTGGGGTTTATGTCTGCAAAGGCTGGCACTTAGTCCAGGAGATCTCAGTCATCCTGTAGCGAAGGTACAGATGACACATCTCCTTCACAGCTCTTTTTTGAGATGTCAGCCAGCTCTGTAGCAGCTCTCGTGTCCTGTCAGGTTCGAACATGAAGAGTTACATATAAGTGACATGTTCATGAGTGTTTCTGCCTAGATTGTTGGTAAAAAAGTTGGAATTTCAGCAGTTTGGTGAGAATTTTAAGTGTTATCACTGTGCTGTGGTACAGTCTGGTGGATGTAATGCTGGCTTTCCCTGGTACTTGAGAGTGCTGGGTGCAGGAGTGGGTTGTGCCACAGGTCTCCTAGGTGTCACACGAGTCACCAGCTCTCTCTGTGTAGTTCTCTCATCTCAGAGTCCGTTTTTGTTGTTCTTCCATATATTTTCCATCCTGATAATTTATCCTCTTTGGCACTGGTCACAGGATGCCTGATCCGCACTAGTCCCTATATTTATTTAGCACTGTTAAGAAGACATGCCTTACTCTCATTCACGACCACTGTGGCAAACTCCAAACTGTTCTAGATTTCTCTCAGGGTAATGTTTTATTATTAAAATGATGCTTTGCTGTGTATTTTGGTAATCTAATGGTCTAATCTAATCTAAATTACTCACCAGAGTCTGTCTCTAATGACACCTATTTGGCACAATACAAAGACCATATCATCTAATAAATTGTCTTCCTTTTTTTGTTTCCAAGGTACTGTACAGATGAAAATCAGACATTTCCTCAACCATTCATGCTGGAGAACCACATCAGCCTCATGCACGGCATCAAAAACCCAGACTTATCCCAGATGGCCAAAGCAAAAGCTCCAGAGAGAGACAGAGCAGAAGTAACTGATACCTATTTTCATGGAAAATTAAATGTGCAATTAAATGTACTTGGCGAGTAGCTGTTAATTTGGGTGTTACATCAAGCTGTGGCCTTGTGCCAGTCAAACCCTCCCATCCATAGGGTAGATTTCCTTCCCTCACTGAATTCCATCCAGCCTTTTTCCCTCTGGTAGGGTCAGGGCCAGCATTGCGAGCGCAGCTAAGCTGCAACAGGACAACGTGAATTTGCATCTTGCATTTCTCAAGATTTTCTTGCTGTGTTTTACTGGCATTTATTCAGTCTGTTTTGTAATTTAAGTTTATTATTTCCCTTGTTTTCCCTGGTACCCTGTCCATGAGCATGGCATATTTTTCTTCTTTCTCCCTTATTTTTTCTACTAGTTATAAAAGATTTATTTTCTGTTTCAAAATACTTGCTAGATCCGTTACCTCTGAGAACTGCATTTTTTTTAAGTAGGAATGTGTGATTTTGTATAGCAAATGTAACTGTTCTACTGATTTTGTTTTGGATTGGTTTGGAGTGGAGGGTTGTCTGCTTGGGCTTCTTTGCTCCATTTATTTTAAAAATACACATTTTGCATATCACTGCAGGGGCATACTTAAGTGAGTCATCCTCACGGGAGAAGAAGCTGCAGGATTCTAAGATAGAGGAGATAAGTTACTGAGAGATGACACTAAGACAGAATCTGAGTGGAGGGGAGAATGTTCAGAGTTAAATCTGAGGAGCATTGTCTGGGCTAATGACCACCTCTGTGTCCCTCAGCTGGCCCTCTTCTGTGGGCTCCTCCTTCCCACACCAAAGTCTAAGTTGTTCCTACACCAAACCAAATTTTTACCTTGAGAGGTCATGGCTGCCCCATCTCTGAAAGTGTCCAAGGCTAGGCTGGACATGGCTTGGAGCAACCTGGTCTAGTGGGAGGTGTCCCTGCCCATGGCAAGGGGTGGAACTGGATGAGCTTTAAAGTCCCTTCCAACCCAAACCATTTCATGATTCCTTGATTCTAAACTTATTTCCCCATCATGTTTCTGGCCAGCCAGCCTCCTAGCGTTCCCATCTCAGATCACAGGGCAGCAGTTGAAAGCCTGCCTGGTGAGGTGTTTGGTATGGGTAGGGAAGGGAATGCCCCAGGAATCCCTAGGCATCACTTCACCCTCAGGCATCTTCAGACATGCATGTGGATTTTAGTACTTACTCTTCCATCGGTTCAAATGATAAAGTAACTGTTTAATCCTATTTTTTTAAGGCAAAATCTCCCAAGAGGATGGCACCGGATGAGCTGGGTCAGGCAGAGAGCACTGCAGGTTTGGATGCGCCACCAGCCAAAAAACTGAAAGCCCCCTGGAAATGTGCTAAGTGCAGCTTTGCGACGGACGTCCAGACTGAGTTCCAGGAACACATACCTCGGCACAAGACCGACAGCTCCACCTTCCAGTGCTCGTTCTGTGGCCTGTGCTACACCTCTCACATCTCTCTGAACAGACACCTTTTCATTGTTCATAAAGTCAAAGATGAGGAGGATGAGGAAGAAGAAGAGGAGGAGGAGGAAGATGAAAGACAGAAGTTACAAACAGAGCTGGGTAAGAATGGACATGAGGACTACAATGGCGAGTTGTACACTACAGTGGAAGAGGACAACAAATACAAAGAGTGCAAAAGTGACTCATCTCTTTGTGAGCACAGTCAGACGTGTGGCGCAGAAGGCCCCAACAGCACCTCACAGAACCATCATTCAAAGTCACTTAAGACTTAAAAGCAAAAAAAGCCCTTTTGGTTGACTGGGCTTTTTTTGTTGGAGGGTTTCTACTTAAAATATAGGGTGGGGACGGGGCAAATCTTTGAAATATTCTGTTGATTTCTTGGGATGGATGTTGCTTTCCGTTAACTTCTATTTGTAAGGGAAGTTTAAAACAGAAAAAGCCCAAAACCAACCCTGCCATTGCATCCTAAGCACTAACTCCCTGCCAGCCCAGAGAGGTAAAAAGGGAAAGCAGAGCCAGAATCCTCAGTGGGGCTTGGCCAACTCCTGAGGATCCAGGAGCACTTTTCAGCTGCAGTTTCCTTCAGACAAGCTCTCCTCCTTTGAGTGTGCACCACCTCAGCCTCTGCCCAGAGCCCCAGCCTTGGCTTCCCAATCTCCCTTTCTTTCTCCTTCTATTTATGGCTTCTTTTTTCTCTCCCCATCCTGCCTTTGTGTTACTCATTTTAATTCATAACACTGACTCAGGCAACTGCGTTTGTCAGGACCATATTGGCCAATCTGGGATCTGTGTTACACAGGATGGGTTCGAGCTGTAAGTTGTGCTGATTATTCTTTAGTTGCCCAAATAACAACATTCTTTTCCAAAACGCAGTTTAATGAAATATCTTGGACCTGAATCATCCTTGAAAGAGGAATTTGTAGTCCCAGTCCTCCCTGGTGAGTACAGTGTTTAGGAGGGTCTGGTCCACTTGGGGACATGTTGGCCGTTTGTGGAGTTGCACTGCTGGAAGCCATCCTGGGGTGGGTGGTGCCAGGCCCAGTGCTCAGTGGTTCATCCCAGTGGGGAGCTCAGATTGGCACCATCACCAGAAGGGAATAACATCCCAGTCAGTAGGGTCAACTGGAATGAAACTATTCCAGAGCTTGCGATGTATCCCAAGTGCCAGGGCTCCATGACAGCTCATTTTGAGGGGAGAGGAGCAGAGCACAGCTCACAGAGGTGTTGGAACCAGTGGGAGCCACCGTCCCACAGCACAGCAGGGGCTGACACTCAATCAGCAGCTCCGTAACTCCTCTCCTGCTGTGGCTTGGCATTACCCGATCTTTAGGAGATGTTTCTTTCCGTGTAGTCACATTGACTCTCTCTTTCCTCCCTCATTCCTTGTCACACCCATGCTTTGTGTAATACAATTACCTTCTATACTATTATTTTTTTTCATTCTGTTGAGCCAGAACTCCGCTTGTTATTGTTTACTCTGACGATGTTTAAATAATTTAAGAACTATTTATCTCCTTGCTTGGGCTCATCACCATCTGGTCTCACGATGCTTGGATATGGCCCATTGGAGCTGCCTGGATGTTGGATGGTGTGCTGGTTGGATGAGTAAAGGTTGGATGTGGGGTATTGGTTGGATGCAGTGTGTTGGGGTTGGTTGGGTGAGGAGTCATATGGGGGTGTAGATTAGATGAGATGTTGGCTGAATGGGATGTGAAGTGTAAGGGGCGTCAGGTTGGTGGGTGTCAGGTGTTGAATAGGGGTTTGGTTCAATGGGTGTTGGCTGGATGGGACTGATTGGAAGAGGCATGGATGGAAGTGGGCATTGGTTGGATAGCTTTTGATAGAGTGGGGCATCCCTTGGATATGGTGTTTCAGTTGGGTGGGTGTTTTGTTGATTGTGGGGGGCTGGATGCGGGTGTCGGGCGCATGGGGCGCTCTCCCGTGCAGATGAGCCGCGGCCCCCCTTCCGGCTCCACGGACGGGTGCTCCGGGGCCCCCTCGCCTGCACGCGCGGGGCGGAAGCGGCGGTGACGTGACCGCGCAGGCGGAAGCGGAAGTGGAAGTGGGGCTGCGCGGGCGGTGGCGGCGGTGGTGGCGGCGATGCTGTCGCTGGACTTTCTGGACGATGTGCGGCGCATGAACAAGCGGCAGGTGCCGGAGGGGCCAAGGGGGCCGGGGGGGAAAGCCGAGCGGGCGGACAGGGCCGGTCCGCCTTGCCGTAAGCTGGTGGCAGGGCCTGACCGACCCTCTTCCTCCCCAGCTCTACTACCAGGTGCTGAACTTCGGCATGATCGTGTCCTCCGCCCTCATGATCTGGAAGGGGCTTATGGTGGTGACGGGCAGCGAGAGTCCCATCGTGGTGGTACTGAGGTCAGTTTCGGGATGCGGGGGCATAAACTCGCAGGTAGTTCACCGGGCGGGGGAATCGTCAGGCCCCCCGAGGGAGATCCCCACAGGGATGGGTCAGACGGAGGCTCTTGCCACAGCCCTAGGGGTCGAGAAGCTCCTTAAGAATCCGGGCTCAGCAATAGCGAGGGAAGAGGGAGTGGGTAAAAAGAGCATCTAACCTCGCTCTGTCAGCCTGGTAGACGGCTGGTAAAAAAGAAGGAGAGGGACTTTTTACCCGGGCAGGTAGTGACGAGACAATGGGGTGTCCCGTTTCCTACTGCTAGAGGGCAGGGTTACATAGGTCAGTGTGAAGAAATCCTTCCCTGTGAGGGCAACGAGGTCCGGGCACAGACTGCACCGAGAAGCTGTGGCTGTCCCTTTCCTAGAAGTGTTCCCGGCCATGTTGAACCAGGGCTTGGAGCACCCTGGCCTAGTGGAAGGTATCCCTGCCCATGGCAGGGGGTAGAATGGGATGATCTTTAAGGTCTGGTCCAACCCATCTGCAGTGATTCAATGAATGTCCATTACAGAGGTGGTCCTGAGCTTACAGGTTGTCACTGTAGGTTTTGGGTGTCACACATTGTCCTCACAGTAGTGACATGCAGTGGGTGCCACTAGTGTTACTCTCACCCTTCTGCTGCCTGGGACAAGCTCCCTGGGCTGCCGACATGAATATTGTACCTGCTCTATGGCCACATTGACCTTTTCTTTGTGTTTTTGTGTCGATGTTCATGATGTAGAAATGCTGTAATGCCATGACCAAGTGCCATTTACCAGAACTCCCTGCTTATGTGAAGTATAGGACAGATGTTTCCCACTGCTCCTCCCACTGAGCAAGACAGGCGCTGTGTGTGATGTGATCTACTGTTCTGAACTGCATCTGCTGTACACTGTGAAAATAAAATACAAAACACAAATGCACGTGGTACTTAAAGTTCATTGTTCTGTTTTGCATTATTTATGTGGAATTAGGAAGGATAAGTAGTTGGTAACAATTGGCATTTACAAGACAGAAGAAAAATAGCTTGAGTCGTGGTAATGAGTCACAGTAACAAAATTTTGGCAATTCCCTTTGTCTATTTCAGATGGGAATGCAAGAGCCTGATGCTTTCAGTGCTTTGTTCCTGAGGATAATCTATCTATCTCTAAAAAATAATTTAAAAAAAAAAAGCTTCCCATCATTACAGAGCTGCCAGCATTGCCCTGCCAGTGGTGAGCTCAGAAATCAAAAGATAGTGTTTGTCATCAGCTTTTTGCTTATTAAAAAAGCTTTTCCCTTTGGATGTGCTTGTAACACCAGGTACTGGCAGTGCTTTTTTCCCAACATATCCAAACTACTGGCAATATGATGACTGAAAACGTGATTGTAAGAGGTTGCACACTTGCCCAGTCTCCAAGGTGGCTTTCTCAGAAGCTCTTCATCAAGGTTTCAGCTTGGTCTTGAACACTTCCAGAAATGGGATATCCACAGTATCTCTTTCTCTTCAGGTTCTTGTGAGATTTTTCTTAAAAGGCCATGAACTCCAAAACCTGGTACTGAGTGTTTAAATATTGTTCAGTTGTTTCTCTCCTCTTTTTCAGTGGGAGTATGGAGCCTGCTTTCCACAGAGGAGATCTCCTGTTCCTCACGAACCGAATTGAAGATCCAATCAGAGTGGGAGAAATAGTCGTCTTTAGGATAGAAGGAAGGGAAATTCCTATAGTCCATCGTGTCCTGAAAATCCATGAAAAGTATGTTAGGAATCTGAGGGTTCTACTGCTGATGTTTCCCTAACTGATATTCTTCATCTCCCTGGGTAAATAAGTGGATGGGATATCAATCAGAAATATCCAGCTGCTGTAGGAAGTAACACAGAAGTTTCAGACAGACAAAATCTGTCCTACTTGGTTTACTTGTCATGATCATCCATCGGAAGGTACAAGCTGAGAGTCTGTGCCAGTGCCCTGGGCACTCCAAACTATAGAATCATGGAATTGTTAGGGTTGGAAGGGACCTTAAAGCCGGTCTCATTCCACCCCCTGCCATGGGCAGGGACACCTATCACTACCCCAGGTTGCTCCAAGCCCTGTCCAGCCTGGCCTTGGACACTTCCAGGGATCCAGGGGCAGCTGCAGCTTCTCTAGGCAGCCTGTGCCAGGGCCTCTCCACCCTCACAGGGAAGAGTTTAATCCTTATATCCCATCTAACCCTTGCCCCTGTCATGTTTAGGGCCCTAGTTTGAAGTCCCTCTCCATCTCTCTTGGAGCCCCTTTAGGCACTGGAAGGCTGACACTACTTACTGTCTCCTGTGCCATCCTCTCTGTCCCGAGCTGCTGTGCTGTCTGCTGTAGCGTGGCTTCATTTATGTGTGAAGTGATTCTTGTTAGTGGGGCATAGCTGTGGCAGAAAGATATTTTGTGTGTAGCATGTGCTATTTTAGAGCTTGTCTCTATGGTCCTGGTCTTTGCTGTCATGCAGACTCTGGGCCTTTCGTCTCTCTAGAAGGTTGTGTTGTTATCCTCAGTCTTTGTGTACTGTTCACTCTCAGCACTGGGGAAGCTGTGTGTCTGAAGGAACGGAACAGGCATTGGTTTCATGGCTGCAAAGGGCTTAGTTTTCCAACCAAGGCTTCCACTGCATTCATGAGTTTTCCTATTTTGCTGGATGGAACTGTGGCCCCTCCAGGCCAGTCTGTGGGGGTACAAGCCAATGGTGTGAGTTGTTTGAGTGAAAACTGAATCTTGAACTGAATCGTTGATTCTTCAAGGCATCTCTGAGAGGCAGCAGCTAATTGGGGTCTCAGCATCTGATTCTGCTGAGTAAATGTTTTCTGGTGTGAGCTGGAGCTGTACCAGGTGACATCTGAGGATTCCTCTAGTTGAGATGTCAATGGGCTGGAGAGGGTCCCTTTGGTCCCTTTCCCAAAGGTATTGGAATATCCAGACCAGTTGTCCGGTCCTACGCAAGGATGACCAGCCTTGTGCACATAAATACACGGCTGCAATCCTGCCTCTGAGGTAACGAAACAATGCTTGTCCCAGTAGGCAAAGCACGTTCTTTGCTGTTCAGATTTACTCTGTACCCACAACTTTGAACAGTGTCAGTTTTCAAAGTGCTGTTCTTTGATACCACTGATTTAAAATAAGGTCAGTTTATGGGCTGAATTTGACACCTAATGTTGCTTGAACATTTTTTGTGATGTTGTGGGAACTCTTTAAGTGAAATGCAGTTTTCCTCCTCCCCTGTTCTGTGCAGCATTTCCTGTCCAGATGTTGCCTACCCTTCTTTTTTTGCCTGTCTCTCTCTCTCGATATTAGGGTATCCAGCACTATTTTTTGTTTAAATGAAACAGGGCCACAATGCCACTTCTGGGAAGGTGAAACCATTCTGCAGTATTTTAGGTTTCATTTAACTGAAACAACCAAACACAAACCTAATCTTTTTATTAGGAGAGATAAACTGAAAAACCCATACTGCGACCTGAACCTGGGAGCTGAAGGCAGGATTTGGGTGTCAGTTGCTTCTTTCACTACTTAAAGAATAATTTTCTAGTGCCAGTTTGGAAGTGAAAAGTCTCTGCAAATGTTGACAGGCGTGTCTAAATGCAGGAAAACAGAAACAGTGTTCTCTATGATTTTGGGGCAACTCAGGGCCCAGTTTCACATCAATATTGTGTCAGTGAGAAAATGTGTGTTAGTTGCTGGCCTTTTCTTCTTGTTTCAGCCCAAAATTGAATTCGTTCTTTATTACTAACACAGAGTCTGCAGTCAAAATTTACTTAGTGGTTTTGGAGCAGGACAGCCAGACCAGTCTTTACTCACTTCAGACAACAGAGAAGTGCACTATGGGCTTCTCACAAACCACGTCGTGACAGAGCATTGACTCTGCTCAATAAGGTGCTGCACTCCTACATCATCACTCTTCAGATCTAAATGACATTATCTGCACCTTTGGGGATCTTTATCTTTTCCCAGACAGTGTGTCTCTTAAGCTCCCGGAATGTTTGTTGCTCCCACACAAGCCAGATGTGCTTTGGAGAAAGCTGTGTGTTTTTTCCCTTTTTCCTTTCTAAGCTTCTCCTGTCAAGGAACCTGTGGGTGTTCAGGCATAATGAAAACAGCCTGAGCTCCAAAGAACTGCCTGCTTTCCTTTTCTGCATTCCATCTGTCATTTCTGTGAGAGCTGAGATTCAAACACTGAGGACGCTCCCGCTCAGCACCTGCCTGCAGGTGCCACGGGAAGGTGACAATGACAAATCCCTGAGAAGTGCCACGGGCTGCTGTCCAGCATTTGAACAGGAATGGCTGAGAAAGAATCTCTAAAGCTTTTCCCTGGTTAAAGGAAAGATTCATCTGCTCCATGATCCCATTTCTGGCAAGCTAATTCACCTCAGGATTAATTAAAGACTAGACAGAGTATGTAGTGATAATTTTCCTGCTTTTTGCAGGTTACAATTTCAAGCACAAAGTCCTAGTTCTTTATGAATAGCCTAAGTTCCTCTTTTATGTGGAGTATTGGGTCAATTTTTGAGCCAATATAATTTTTTGCAAACCAAAATACCTTGCAGAGATAAATGGTTTAGTTTGCGCTGTGGCTATTTCTGCATATCATCTTCTCTGCCTGGTTTTAACCCATTACTTCTGAGCTCCTTTTGATACCCTCTGGCTCTTGCATTGGAAGAGACAGTGAAAAGCTATTAGATTGTTCCTGTCATTTGTGGTGGACTATGTAGTATCTCATATCAGTTCTGTCATTTCCAGGCTGGAGAATCCTGGTCTGTAGCTTCTTGTATGGAAGTGGTTTCAGACTTTGTTAACCATTTTTCAACCTTTGCCACTTCTTCTCTCCATTGCAGAAAGGGGTTTGGGGGGCTCAGCACTACCCAGAGCATTCCAGATGTAGGCACATCGTGAGTTCATGCAGTGTCATCATGGTATTATTTGTTTTTTTTTCTGTCTGCTTTTCCTAATCAGTTCTAAGTTTCAGCTTGCTTCTGCCCACTGCTGACTAGAGTTGTGTGCTTCAATCCCAACCTCTCCTTTTGTGTGGTAACAGGGAGACCAGAATACAAGATTTGTGTGAAGCAAGAGAAGCATCAACACAATATAGGTCAAAAGCCAAGAGGCAATAGCTGCACCTGCAGTAGAAATGGCTTGTCCTGCTCGTTCTCTTCTGAAACTCTGCTGGAAAGCTTGGCTGGGGCCAGAATTCATTCTTCCCGTGACAGTTTTTTCCAAACCATCTGCTTTCTGGTGCATTTTACAGAGTTTCCCTCTTTTATCCTTCTTTCATTGTAGGACATGGTTGCTTCTAGTACCCTTGTGTTGGTCTCTCCATGCTTGTTGTAGAACAGCTTTTAACAAGTTTCTGACCTGCCTTACCTGACTGTCTTGTCTTTACCAGGCAAAATGGAGACATCAAATTTCTGACAAAGGGAGACAACAATGCTGTGGATGACAGAGGGCTCTACAAACAGGGGCAGCACTGGCTGGAGAAGAAGGACGTAGTAGGACGAGCAAGAGGGTAAGTGCAGTTGAAAATGATGGGGCTTTTCACACTGCTGTCCCCAAAAGCCATCTGGTAAATCCCCCCTTGTGTTGAGCTATCCCTGCTGGGTTTTGTAACCTGCCTGAGAGCGTGGAGAGTTCAGTTCTTAGTTTGGCTTAGGCAAAGGCATCAAGTTGTGAGCTGCATCCTGGATGTTGATGCTGGATGGACATAGATGTAAGGGTAACGTGAGCTCAGACTTGATGGGAATTGTCATCACATTTGTCCTGGGAGGCTCAGCATTTGCAGGCAAGTGGTATCTGGACCAGGCATAGGCTGAAACACACTCTGGGGCTGGTTGTCTCTCAGCCCCACTGCCACAGGGAGGAAGAAGTCACCAGCCCATTGACTGCAGCCCTCGGGATGCTTGAGTGGCTCTCCTTCTGCACCCTGGAATCGTGTTTGTTTTAAGAAAACCTTTATTCTTGTAGATTTGTGCCCTATATTGGAATAGTGACTATCTTAATGAACGATTATCCAAAATTCAAGGTAAGAGCTCTTCTATTTCCTGCCTGCTTTTTCCACCCCGGCTATAATTCCTTCACGAGAACACAGGCAGAACCCTGTGCCCTCTATGTTTGCTGCTGTAGATGTGCAGTGTGCACTCCTGTGTCTTCTCTTCTCTCTCTTCCAGTATGCAGTCCTCTTTTTACTGGGTTTATTTGTGCTGGTCCATCGAGAGTAGTCCCTTGCACTGAACTACGAGGTGAAGGTGCCATGGATTTTTGTAGATGAACGTTTAAAGTAGCTGATGGTCCAATGTGCCAGGAGAAAGAAGAAAGCATGCATTTCAAAGCTTCTTGCCAGTTTGGGTTTGTTTTGGTTTTTACTGCGTAAGGGTGAATGTTTGTCACAGTATTTCCAATGGTTTGTCACATTTTAGCCTTTTTAGTGAATTTTTATATTAAAAAATTGAGCCAAAGTGTTTAGTGCTTGTACTTTGAAGCTGAGCTTCCTCTCCAAGTGCCTCTGGGACCGTGTCCTCAGTCTGTGCCTGGCCGGGCCAGGTGCCCCCTCCCTTGTGCTTACTGAACTGTCCAATGGTGAGTTGTTGCCATGACGTTTTTTTTCCAATTCAGAACTGGAATAAAGATTTTGCCTCTTGCCACGTTTTTTGTTATTGCCCTGAGGAGAGCAGCCTCTTTGCCCGGGTTTTGGGGGACACCTGGGCTTTGCTGTTACACACCCCCTCCTAGAGCCACCATGTAACTTGTTCTCTCCTCACAGAAGCAATAGCAGCTGCTCCTCTCACTTCTTTTTGGAGAATAATCTGTCTTGAGCTGTTGATAATTCAATATTTCTGTGTTTCTGTAAATCACACTGAAATAATCCACCTAAACACTGCAAAGTGTTTGGGGTAGAAGATGGCAAAGGATTACTTTGCGTATTGTGGCGCTAGGTAACAAAAGGATTGAGATAGGAAATACCCTCAGCTCTGACAGGGATGATTTAGCAGGATGCAATAATAAAAATTGCTTAGTTTTGGAAAAGGGTTTCAGGTGTCCTGTGAACTGGCCACATCTCACAGCTCGCCTGAAAGCTACAGGCTACCCTGGGGTCTGAAATAAAAAACCCACTTGTCACCATGTGCAGCAGCTGTTTTTTCTGAGCTTCTCATTCAGGCTTGTGATCCTGCTGGTGGAGATGTTGTCAGAGAGAGCCCAGGGAAGAGGTGCAAGGCAGCGATATTGCAGTTTATCAGCTCTTCTCCATGACTGCTCCAGGATTCCAGAGCAACAGGAATCATTGCAGATGGTCACTGAAGCCAGACGCACAGCTTGTATAAAGCAAAAGCAGTCAGGAAAAGCAAGGACAAAATCTGCTGGCATGTTTATGGCTGTTTGCAGTTTCTTGCATATGTCTCTCATTGGGTTTTTCAGGCCTCTCCCATCTCTGGAGGTGAATTGTGCCATTTTGCTGATTTTGATGTTACCAGGTGCTTTGTTCCCTATGTAAGATAAAGCAGACATCGCCTGTAAGGGCACTGAAAGAATCTACGAACAGATCCAACCCCCAGCACTGAGCCTTGGGCCTGTGGCTCTGAGTAATCATAACTTCATAATAAAAATGGTAATAAAATCTGTATCTCTTGCCCCCAGTGTTAGAGCCCTTGAAAGGAGAATGTGTAATTCTCTGTAATTCTTGAGTTAAGGATGGGATGTTCTGTCAAAAGTCAAACCCAGGCAGCACTGAGAGAACAGAGAATCTTTGAGAGCTGCTATCACTGTAGAGCACCTTCCTGAGGCATTTCTGCCCTTGCAGCTCATGGGGAGCCTGAGTCTGTCTGCTTTGCCTTGAGCCTAAACAGCTTTTTTGCATAGACTTGGGCTCACGCAAAGGGCTGAGTTGAGCTTGTCTGAAAGCTGCTAATCAACACCTCCCCATAAGCACTTGCTGGGAGTGCTGCTGCTGCTGCTCTCCAAGTCCTCTCCCTTTCAGACCTTCTCCAAAATTCTGAACGTGTGAAAGCAGTTGTGTTCCTGTCACTGAGTTAATTTAACAAAAAAGCTAAACCACAAAGGATTATAAAGCAAAGTTTAGCTCTCAAACTGCTGAGACTGCAGTTCTTTGGCAAGATGATGAGTCCAGAGGGTGGTAGCTGGTGTCAGGAGTGCCTGCGTTGAGGGACACAGGACCAACGTGAGCTTTTGCAGGAGGATGTGCCCTTCTCTTTCCTAGTACTGTGTGAGGGAATTGAACAGGAAGTGCATAAAAAATGCAGGGTGGTTGGGGTGAAGGGTGGCTGGAGCCCCTGCTGCAGCCCAGCTTCTGAGGCTTCTGTCCAGGATCTGCAGGTGCTTGAAGAACAGGAACAATTGTCCTAAACCCGGGACTGCCATGTGGCATTTGAGAATTCATCTCTGCAGCCTGTGTTCTGCCTGTTTCCAGCTCTGTACAGCTGAGAATGTGGTTCTGTTACCTGCAGTTGTGAAATGGGGAGTTAACTAATTAGGATGAGAATAATTCAGCAGTCAACCCCATCACAGCTCCAACACCCACCACCTCCTGTGCCACCTCTCACAACATTTCCTGCCTTCTAGCAGCACCTTTCCTGCCACAGGAGGATGAGAAAGTGTTAGGGATGAGCCTGCACAGGGTGGAAACTGGGCATATGGGGGCAGGATGACACTGAGTTGTTGCTGGCTCCATCCCCACCAGATTATTCTGCTTTGCTGAGCAGAAAAGCCACAGAGTGAGCAGGATCTCTGGCTGGTGGGTGCTGATGCTGAGGTGTTTGGGAGCACTTCTGAGCTCCCACAGAGCCAGATTGGTTTATGGTAGAACTTGATGTGTTTGTGTTTTATTTCAGTTTTGTGCCGCTTTTTTTTTAAGGTGAAACTGGTTTAGGTAGCTCCAGCAGTCAGTGATACTGGAGGTTTTGGAAATGGATGGAGACCTTTGTATCACCACAGGAATGGGATTTGCTTGTAAAGCATGTGGGTATTGAAAGGTCTGGTTTATAAAAGGAGAAAGAAATTAAGGAAAAGATCTTCCACGGCTGATTTCTCCTGTCTCTGTTGTGGTTGATTACAGCCAAACAGAATAGGTTTTCTGGTAGCAATTCCAGTGCTTAATTACAGTTCAGTCACATCCGCAGTTTAGGGCACAGATTTCCTTCATGGGCAGGAGCTGTTTTATGAAGCAAAGCCATGCTGGGCTGTGTCTGATGGCTGCTGAAATTCTAGTGGGTGATTTTTTTTGTATCAAACCTAAATGCATAAGCAAGAGCATGATGGTTGGGAAGTGAGCTGTGAGGGGTGGGTGATGTACTGCAAGCTGGAGCTCTGTGAGACAGAGGCTGTTTTTGTGTATTTATGATGCTTTAATTCATGGTTTTTGGTTGAACAGCAATGAGCATCACGGTGGTTCATCCAGATCTGTTGCTGCTTATTGCTTTGCAGGGGTTCACAGGGCTCAAGTTTTGTCAGATAGTCAGTTCCCCACTGTCTTTAATGAGATTGGGTGATTTCATGGTGATTTTCGTGCCCATAAAATCAGAACAGATCAGAACTGTATTTTTTTCCAGGGAGCATCTTCAAGAACAAACCTGGTCCATGCATGAAGACCACTCTCTGCTGGAGAAATGCACAACGCAAACAAAGCGTGCAGCTACCAGCACGGCCCAAAAGTTTGCCAGGAGAAGTAGAGGAGACAGAGGAGGAGAGAAGCAAGAGAGGAGGTGCCTAGAGCACATGCCTTGGGGATGGCTTCTGTGCCAAAGCAGGGGTAGTACAAAGCAACTGTTGGTATGACCCATTCGGTGCTAGTGACTCAGTGGCTGAATCAGATGAGGAATGTCCTGGTTCCATCCTCCAGGAAGGTGCACTGGGGTGATGCCAGAAGGGCCCAGCCTATGCTGTTCCCACAGTGTCAGCAGTTCAGGGTGGGAGTTCATGTGTGGTGAGTGACTTACATGGCTCATCACTGGGAGAAGAGAAACAGCACCCACACTGTACTTTGAGCCAGCCTCCTGCCCCTTTTACCTCTTCCCAACCTCGTAACACTTCTGTCCCTTTGTCATCTGCACCCAGATTCTCACCTGTCAGGAGCCACGGGTCTCTGCTGGAATAGATCTACCACCCCAAGCATGTTGGATTCATATGGGACACGGGGGCTTTCCTGAGAAATCTACCTTGGTGGCTCTATTTTGCCCTAATTGGGTGGCTTTGCTGCAGGTTCCTAGTCTGCTCAGCTGTGAGAATCACTCTTCACATTTGCTTACCCTGCTTATCCCTCAGTTTCTGTAAAAACCCATCAGCTCCATCACACATAATCCTGGTTCCCCATGGAACAGGACCTGTCTCTATGTGCTGGCCTGCTAGTTGAGCACATTGTCTATTAAACCTACTCCAGCTCATGGGGAAATTCATACACTTGTTCAATTCTAGCAGGTCCTGTGAATGTCTAGCAGAGTTTCCTAAACCTTGGGGGAAATAAACATCTTCACAGAGAAGAACAGTCTAAATAGAGACGGACTAGAAATTCACCTTTTGTGATTCAGAACCTCTGTGATCCAGGATGGAGCTCTCAGTCTCTTGCTTCTTCTGCTCCTCGGTTTTTGACTATTTGTGCTCCTTCTGTTTAACAATTCAAAAATTCTTCCTGCATCTCTCTCTGCTGAATATCTTGGTATCACCTTTGTTTTCAATCTCCCCTTTCCCCATAGAAACAGACCTGAAGGAAAAATAATATGGAGGATATTAATGTCTCTGAGCCTTTATTCACTCAAACTGGGATATAAGATTTCTGCTGTATAATTCTGGCTAGGACACTTCTGAGCTGGGCCTGGATAGGCCTGGAAGAAAACACGATTTTCTTCTCTAAGTCTTCTTGCAGAGCAGTTATTTGTGTATGTCCAGCAGTATGGAGTGAAGGGGAGGCCTCAGGGAAAACCACAACTCATTTACAGCTTAAATGAAAATTGAAAATGAGTTGAAAACAAGATGTGCAAGATTTCAAATTTTATCTTTTATAAACAACAGCTATTGCCTGTGGACGAATGGATGTAACAGAGGGATTTAATCTTTGTAAACAAGAGAAAAATGCATCAAAATATACCCTCAGGCATATGTCAGGACCTGGCTTTGGAAAAATGGTGAAGAAGAGGCTGAAGCAACCTAACTGCTGCTAAGAGTTTTATTGGTACCAGGAGCTCTGTGAAGGAAACAAATAGGGGCATTCGATGACTTTGCTCTCTGTATTTGCTTTTTATTAGAGCCATCAGTTTGAGCACATATTGGCCTGCCCAGGTGGATATTTGCAGGGCCTGGGAAGCCTGAACTCCATAGCATGGAGTCTCTCCCTTGCAGCCTAGCTGGGGTCCAGAGTCAGTGCCAAAGGTACTAAAGCATAGAATCCCAGAATGATTTGGGCTGGAAGGGACCTTAAAACCCAGCCAGTCCCACTTCCCGCTGTGGACAAGGACACCTTCCACTAGACCAGGTTGCTCCAAGCCATGTCCAACCCGGCCTTAGACATTTCCTGGGATAGGGCAGCCACAGCTGCTCTGGGTAACCTGTGCCAGGGCCTGACCAACCTCACGGAGAAGAGTATCTTCCCAATATCCTATCTAGCCCTGTCCTCTGGCAGTGGAAAGTTATTTCCCCT